ACGAATGAGTCGGCTCGACAGGAGCGATAACCACGGCAAGGAGGAAATAAAACGGAACAACGGCCAGACACCTTTTCGTCGTGTTTCTCCGGGGGATTGAGGTTAACGGAGACCCTGCAGCCATTCCCAATCCCCACAGTTCTTCCTGTCCCCCAAGTCCCTCAGACACAAAAGACCGGCAACGCTCTTGCAAGTTTTCTGGTGTTGTGCATGCTCATCGGCGGCTCCGCTTGCTCAAGAATTGGTGATTGGTAACGTTGTACGAATGACTTAGGAAAAAATGATTCTATCTTAAGTTACTACATCAGCCTTGCTTTTAGGAAGATTTTTAATGGTATATAAGTAGTATTCCAATAAGTCACTGATGCGTTCTTCGCAACCAATCAATGTTTTATCACTGACAGATTCTAATAATTGTCCATTCGCAATGTCATCCGTTGACCCAATTTCCATAGACACAAAAACAGGCCACGCAATATACACCCAATGATTTACCTTCTAACCTTCGTGCTGACGAAAAGTTTCACAAGAAAAAAAAAACAAAAATATATTACTGAACGCAGACAGAAGTTCTCTTCGGGGTAAACAAAGGAATAAAGGAGACAACCCTATGAATAAAATAAAAATACTACGAGATGATATCGATGGAACTGGCTGAGTATGGAATATGTTCGGTTATTATTCGACTAATAACTGGATCGTATTAACTTTGGTGCGCAGAGTTTGTGTTGCTTAGACCTGGCGTGCATAGAAGGACCAAATATGGAGCCGAAGGACCAAAATATTTGGTTGTGAATGATGATTAGAGTAATATTAACCTTTCAATCGTGGTAATTCGAGATACAATAGGTGCGCGGACGGTGCGCTTGGGGTTTGATGACTAAATTCATCAAACCCCAAGCGCACCGTCCGCGCAAAAATTAGTCAAGTGTTAGGTATTACTTGTGAGTGCTTTGTATAATTTAGGTTGCGACTGTAAAAAGGGCCGTTACCAGTCGTAATAGTTCTTTTATTGTACAGCAATATTGCCTAAACTAAAAAGTTTTTAAGAATGACCTAGTGCGTTTAAGTTTTATGGCTTAAATATTTTTTATTTGTATTTTAAATTATTAAGCAAAGTTTCGAATGCACGGTTGGCGCGGTGGCTGGGCAACTGGCTGCCGTGCGACGTGTCGTGGGTTCGATGCCCGCACGGAACAACATTTTGCGTGATCCACCAATTGTTGTTTCGGGTGTGGGTGTTAGTGTATGTAAAATTGTGTGTTTGTAAACGCACCCACGACACCGAAGAAAATCCTAGTATGGGGCAATGTTTTTTTTTAAATTTTGTTTTTTATTCAAACTAACCGTTGCTATGGCAACTGATCTAGATTATTTAATTAAGCATTTGTCAAGGTTGCACAAAAATCCGATCCTTCAATCCGGACCTCCTCTATACAATTCCTAGCTCTACCCATCAATGTCTTAAAGGCATTTATAGATTATTCATTTGTATCTAGCAATATCGATTCTTTTATGTTATTGTTTTGCCGTCGTTCCGTCGACTACACAGATATCAGGCGTAATTGCCAGTTATCGTATGACAAACTTATATTTGCTCTCATATCCACCCTCGTTTAGAATACTTTCGCAACTACTCTTGTTTTATGAGCTGCAAACTAACTTGGTTGTTGTAACAGAGATTTTTCTTCTAACAAGTTTAATGTATTGACTTATGCTAGTTTGCAGCCATTAGATTTTTTTCGTCTTTGTGTAAATAGATGTGTTTTGTCTTTATTTCTACATTTAATATACGCCCTTGTCCTGGTGGTCTAACGAGGCAATGACGATGACATGTCTGTCTGTATGAAATAAGCTCATAAATTTATAATAAGGGCCCATTGTCAGTATCAGTCTTTGGATTGTTATCATTTTAACTGTCTCGTGATTTCAGTGAACATTTTTTTTAAGTTTTTCATGGAGCAAGAGTTTTTAGTCAGTAAGAATCTGAGTCTCCCATTAGTCCACAATCAGGGCGTGAGGCATGACTAGATTATTTTTCTTTTCCAAAATCCGTGTTGACTAGTGTTTAAAACTCAGATTAACAAATTATAGATGAAATGTAAATGAAACGATCCAACGACCATCCTTTCGTCATTTTGTAAATATCTGACATATTGTTGTACTTTTTAACAATCAAACCTTTTCATTACATAAACTACAAAAGCATTCAATTAAAAAATAACAAGACAAAGACAATCAAACAGCTCTTCAATGACATAGACTCGGAAATATTTCTAGAACGCTCTAATGAAATAATGGTGCTAAACAATTCTTGTAAATTTTAACGTAGATTGGAAACAATTGGAGACCATATTACTCGTTTGTGGATGAGATAAACCTTATATCAGCTTGGTTTATATTAAGGAATTCTTTATTAGTAATTTTTAAATTTCCAAAGTTTTTGTAAATTACTTAATTTATTCGTAAATCATGTTAAATTGTTTTCGTTACATAAACTCTCCTTAGAGAGTTTTAGAATAAGAATGCAAGATACTCACTTGGCTATAGCTCTAAGTTAACGACGCTGGCCAAAGCTCAAATAAAACTTTAATTTTAAATTGTATAACTCCTAAAATAATCAACATTTCTTATACATTTTGCAATACCAATTACCTATATTAAAAGAAAAACAACAAAAGGGCCAAACACACTGTTCATTCCCCACCAAACTCCAACAATGCCGTTTTTATAAATGCCATTGTTAATCTCCACTTGTCAACATCGTTTAGTACAAAAAGGTTGAATGCAAAAAGCATCCTGCAGTGTGCCGACACCCTACATTTAGCCCGAATCAGTTTATTTATTTCCTATCTCACGTCGTACTTGCAACTTAAATGATTGTCTTCAGATACTTAAAATTATTGAGAAAATCGAGTTACATTCCTTTCAGCTTGATCCATATCCATCATTCAATTATCAACTTTAACACCCTCGAGTTACAATTGCATTTAACAGTGACAAACGTAAATCTAAATGTGAATTGACATCTTTGTGATCATGTTGCAAAAATCATCAAATTGCGATAAGTGTAGTATAGTCTTTGTAACGAATGGCTTAAAGTTTAAACTCGTTTAACAATACACCAGTTGCATCTGTATCACCACTTTAATCTTTCGCATCAATAACATTTTTATTTTCCTTATTGTCTTCGTGTTTGAGTTGATAATCGTGTTATTTATTAAAATTTGACCGCATATTGACTGTTACAGTATTCTATACAGTTAAGTCAGCCAGTCGGTCCGTTTGATCTGCTGCAATTACAGTTTTACTGCGATCGTAAACAAGGGCTACAAAATGGTTGCAGGTAAGCCCCATTGTTGTTGTTTTTTCACCCTCCATAGTTTTTTAGATTGGTTCTCTAAAATTAGTTATGGGTTCAACTTGTGAAGGTATTACTGAAGACATCTGCTAACAGTTTTTATCTGCTAAAAGCTTTGGCTGATACAGCGATGTGTGAAGTTTTTGAGACGTGATATCTTTTGGGTGATACGTATTATTGGGAAAGGTTTAATAGCCATACTATCGAATGCATCGCATATTAAACTTATACTGAGTCTATAACCTATATCAATATGCCTTGAAGTTTTGTTAATCATTTTGATTCCCAGTAGCAATAATTATACAGAGGTAGACTGAACACTAGTTTACCTAGTGGAGTACAGACAATGTTGCTAAGCGACATCAAATAAATAAATTAAAAATGTTATATCTTTGAGTTTTATGGTAGAAGAAACAATTAGTGAAAGTGGCAAATAATACGTCATTGTAGGTCCCGTTGGGGTTTCCTTTGTAATGGAAGCTTCGTTTAGTATTTACTCAACCAGGTAGTTTAAGTAAGTAGACAGCGGTTGACATATTTATTTCGAATCTGTATCAGTAAGTACTTATATCCTTATCTTATGAGAATGACAATAGACTTACTATGTTTACAAGATAAACTAATAAACTGCTATCATCTCGTCTGATTTGTCAGTTTCTTGGTTAAAGTAGCAATTATTATTATTTTCCTAATTGACAAAACATTTATCTACACACAATAAACAAATATTTTACGTAGGTACTTCAATAAGAAACCCTTTCAGATTTTAATGATTAAAATAACGCTTCATATAAGGATAAAATAATTACTTAGCTCCGAAGATCTTGCTGGATTCAAATACCAAGATATCCAAATTAGGTTACAATATTTAATTAGCATAGCGTGAAATGTTAATCTATATTTATTATACTCGTTACTGGATAAATGATAACAATTTATATCGATGTGAACGTGAATGTTTTTCTAAGTAAGAGTGGACCTGGAATGGTGCCTTGCGAAACACCACTCACTAAACGCGCAATGAAGATGCTTCTTGCAAAGTTATTCAAGGATGCAATCAATAAAGCCAAAGAGATTGTACTCATTTCATCCTAGACTACATTTAACTGTAATCCATTGGTGCTACAGTTTCAATTTGAAGCAAAACCTTATCTAGAACAATCAGCTATTAAACACAACACTATAAAAAGCTTAACCAGAATATATGTGACTTAAATCTATAAAAAGTTCACATAATTTTAGCCATAAATACAATTTGTTTGGCATTTATGCACCTAAATCCTATCTTTCGATCAGCAAATCAATTTGAAAAATGATAATAACTCAAGGTATTAAGCTCATGAGTTGAAGATAAGCTCACAATTGATGGTCGTGGACATTTTTCTGCAACCGACCACAATCTTACTACTGGTTGTCGCAACAAAACTCGAGGATGATTTTGCGTAAATGAACGTTGACATTTCGCGGGACAGCCGACATTCTGATCTTTAAAGTTTACGCTGCTCGTAGTAAGGGCTCGGAAGGATGAATTCGTGCAGCACTATACTGCATCTACACGCCCTCCGATTCGACCCTTCCCCTTGCTGAGAATCCTATGGAATACTTACAAACGGCTTAAAGCAAGCCAGTCTGGTTTTGTGTTTCATTGCGCGCGGATCGCAAGCGCGTCGCGTCTAAACGTAAACGACTGCACACAAAATCTTTTTTCGATTTTTTCAAACTGTTCGTATTTTAATAAACGGTCTATGGAATCCTTGGTTGACAGCTTCGTTTTTTAAAAATAAGAGTGCGCCGGCAAAAGTAAACTTTCGCAAAAGTTTTGTTTTAAAAAGTTTTTATTTCTTTTTCGTTTTATTTTTTTTTTCGTTCGTATTACAGTGATTACATTGTTATTTAAGTTTTGTGGTTTGTTTTGTATAGTGGATTTGGTTTTTAAGATTTGCGGTAAAGAATTAAAGTTTTGGTTTTGTTTGAAATTCAGCGGTGTTGATGTGAAGTGTTTAAAGTTAAATTTTGTTAGTGTTAGCTAAATAGGATGTTTGTAAAGTGACTTTGTAGAGTTATTTGGCATTATGAAGCTTATTTGGAAAGTTTTGTGCTGTTTGCTACTTCTTGCACAGGCTGTTATGGGCAACTGGTGGTAAGTACATTTACTGTCCGTAACCTGCGTTTTCTATAGCAGTAAGACCAATGATGATCGTTTCAAAAACGATCTATAAATTGGATTATGTTTATCAAGAGGTTTAAATTAGTAGTATTTTAGTAGTATTTCAAAGTAAAAAATCCATTAATGGTGAGAATAAAAACTGTTTCGGAATTAGAAAACAAAAAAAGTAAATGCTTCCGTTTGAATAATAAAGGAGTTTTTATACCTACTTCTATTTTTTAAATTAACATAGTTCCGATATCTAATTAGCACAAAAAATAAGCCTTTTTCAAATGTGTGACCGGTTCTAGATAGACTACGTTCTTTACAAATTAGTATAAGACTTTATTCTATAAAAATCTTTTTACTCTTGCATTTGTTTTTCTTTTTATTCAACTACAACATTTTGTTTGTACTATTTTACTGTGTCAATTATTATTATAATAATTTAACATACGAGAAGTCATCTTCCTTAGGACTTTTATAAACGTAATGCTGCGCACGGACATGTTATATATTTTAAACTTTATCTATATATGTTGGTGTGAATCGATTAATTTCGCAATCAAACATATTTTTTAAAGTTAACGACGAATAGTCAGAAACATATGTTAGGGTCTTCCTACGTTTTAAAAATCTGTATGTTTTCACTGGTCCATAAGACTATTCAAAGCGGGTTTGAACTTTACAAAAGAAGCGTTTTGTTCGTGACTTAGGTCTGTTATTGGAACCAGAAAAATATTATGAATTCAAATTCCTTCTATTACGCATAAGTCCTAATTTGATTGTAAAAATATCCCAATGTTGATTGGAAGAGGTTATTAGATAATTTTTGTACCTGCTCAGGCTCAGTGAGTCAAAGACAAAAAAAAACAAAAGAAAATAAACACAACTTAACATGTATAATGTTAATACATATTTTAATTATATGACATTCTACAAGAACACATTGTTTTGTTCCAACAACAAATCAAACAGAAAAAAACGCTAATTAAAATTCTACCTGATCCCGTCCTTAGAAGGAGAAGATCTTATACTTAGGAATAATTATCGACTATTAGATTAATGGGATTACAATTGCCACCCTTAATTCATTTCCTGCCATCTTCGTTAATGACGGGAGACATGAGATTTTCAAAATAATGATCACAAAGGATTCGTGGGAGCCCTCCGAGTGACCACTAAGATGTCCAATGGGTATGATTTGATACTTGCGACCCGCCTCGGCTCTGTACGGGTGCATGATGATACTAAATTCCTCCATCACTTAATGGATGATATTATAATTATAAACCTTCTTCTTCAATCAATCAATCTATTAAAAAAAAACCGCATCAAAATTCGTCGCGTAGTTTTAAACATTTAAGCGTAACATAGAGACAAAAAAGCGACTTGGTTTTATGCTACGTAGTGTTAGAAGCGTTGCTTTACTGAAGATGTTATAAGGACTCGTGTTCTACCGTCTACTGTGAATATTGTTGAAGAAACGTTTGATTCCTCTTAGTTAAAGAAAGAAGAAGTTACCACTGATTCAGCAAGGGTTGCGAATAATGAACCAAGGTCCCCGCTTGGAGCAGGAGAAGGAACGAGTGCTTAAACCTGGTTTTAGGGAAAAAACAGAACCCACTTTTTTACCCATTAACCATTCCTCTGTTCGCGTACGCCAAAAGAAAGTGGAGGTTCTCAATTTGATTGCATTTTTGGGTTTTTAGTGATCAACTTTTCCCAAGTAACTTTGACCAAAAGCGGCTTATTTGATTGTGTGTCATATTCAAAAGACAGGAAGAAAGAATCTTCATTTTAGTATACAAGTAAAAAAGTAAGAAAACGTGAGAGAACATCGTTTAATTGAGGTTTTCATTTTTAATAATCATTGAAAAAGATGTGCTTAGTTTAACAAGGATGTAAAGAAGGACATTGCATATGTGTAGTTGAATGCTTCTGCCAAACCCTTCAACAAATTAAAGACAAGATTTTACTACATAAACAACAAATATGGTAGCACTAAAACAGTTTTGTTTAATTTCTATAAATATATACAAAACATATTTATAAATAGTCTCATCCCTAACTTTAAACAAATTGTTTACGTTTCACAACGAACTGAAAACTACAAACAAATGTTTGACATATGGTTGAAAAACAAAACACGATTTATGTAACAGAATTTATGTTGGCATAAAATCATTTATGATTTATTGCAAATGCATTATAATTTATTGGGTTACACTTGTACGTGCATACATAGACATTTATATGATTTATTTACTAATGCAACGGATGGTTGTATTTAGTTAGCCACTAATGTTGTAATGTTTCCGATGCATATTTAGTTTTCTGAATCAAGAGATTGGTCGAGAAAGCGGTTCTTCTTGGCACGGCTCGTATTGTCAGGAGGTTCCTTTCTCTGCAGCCCTGGCCGCCAGTAGCTAGGACGCTGTTCCCGAAACCGGTGGAACACTATTTTCTATATTCTTAATTGTTTTTTTCTTGTATTTTCTGTCTTATACTTTTATATAATTATTAAGGGAGTAATAATAGCTAATATTAAGGTGTTTGGCGACTGGGCTTCTTTTAGTTGTACAGTCTCCTTTGTGCCTTTTAAGACTTAAGTCATTCTGTCTTTTGCATAAAATTTACCGAGGAAAGTGGAGGTTTTACAAAGAAAGTTTTTTCTACTCACATAATTTATCTTCTAATTTATTTCGTTCCAGACGGTTATGCGTCTGGGATGCACCGGACTTTAGTGTTACGGTGTTTTCATGTTGGTAACTAGTGTAAATCCTGGCTCACAGCAGTTGCAGTGGCAATGGGAGGCAGAAGCGGGCTTCTCCAAAAAAAAAATATATTATATATACAACCAGTATGAGTAGGTTCTTACTCTCTGCTACAATTAAAACACATCACACGATAACTATGTACCTAACCTATCTTCTATGTTTAAAAAAAAAGTTATACATATTATGAGTATAAGTCCCATGTAAATAGGCTAACATTCCATTATCAGAACCCGGGCTTTGTTTTAAACACTATCCCCCTTTTTAGAAAACAAAATATATATTTAGCCTAGGTTTTAACCATGAAGTCAGGGTTTTTTATTTCGAATTCTATTTTCACCTACATTAAATTCGAAATACAAAAACTGGCTCCAAGGTTATTGATCTAGACTGAAGAAAAACCTTGTTTAAATACCTTGTAATAAGGCTGTATAAAAATGTAAGTAGAATATGACAAAAAATCGCAATATTACTTCATGTATACATAGATCTCTTGCTCGACAGTCTTATGATCAAAGTGATTTACGAAGTCTTAAAATCTAAAAATGTAATTATGTTTAGAAACAGCTGCATTATATTTGCTTCGTGTGTCATTAATGCCGAAGGGAGAAGTAATTGCATTAGTCGATTGCGATGTTCTAATGTTTTACGATGTGAGAGGAGGCTTGACTATATTTGCCGACAGACGATTCAGATAAAATAGCTACTATAATTGAGTTGATGAAATTCAATAGCAACTCTTTAAGTGTTGAAAAGAGAAAAATGGATAATCAATGAAGTTAAGTAGCCAAATTAAGGAGTAATGATAACTTTTGTGACTGTGTGATAAGAAGCACTAATGGGTTGATAGGAACTGAAGAAAACAAGTCCCTTGTACAAAATAATAAAAACAAATAACGAACGAATACGAATTGGTAAGAACTTCTAAAAATGATAGATGATATTTTGGCAAATTAAAGTTTTTTAATTAATCCTATCACTATCAAAGGATTTAAAAAAGTTACAGTACCAGGATGGCATACGATAGATAGAGCTTCGTTTGATCTCAGGTGCATACGATTTACAGGTACAATATTATGTCCTATGAAAGATATAAAAATCAAATCTTTAGCCAGGGTGATACTCGTATATAAAGAAGATGAGAATGTAATCTTAAGAATGTTGAACCTACTGGAGTTGACAGTACCAGGATGGCATAGCATATCACAAACAGAGATTCTTGTGATTTTGTTCTTGTAAAAAGAATTTTCCATCCATCCAATGTTGCAGTAGTTGGTTATTAATTTCATTTTTATTAACAATTTATTATGGAAAATCCGCCAGATACATATATTTTTATTCTACTGAAATGAAAGTTATATAAAAATTATAAAGGTATTTTAAAGGTATGTTACAGGTATAAAGTAAAACCAGTTCAACAAAAAATTAACATGCCAAATACATGAAAACGGAAGGATCAAAAAATCTAAATCCGTCTCCATGATTGGATCTAATAAACTTGACAGTACCAGGGCAGCATACGACAAACAGAGATTCGTTTGATCTCTCATGCAACCAATGTGACTAGTAAGGAGCTTTGTCAAATTTATTTATAGGTACTTTAGTATTGCAATAAACTTTATAGTTCATTTGTTTTGTTTTTATTAGGTACTTAAGTCGTTAGTGGTGTGATGTCTTTGTCGAATATATGTAGATTTAAACTATTCGCGTCAATATCAATATGGCTCATGATAGGCCATTATTTGGTTATGGGTCTTCTCTAAATAAAACAGTGCGACAATCTCCAAGATAGTCACGTATGGAGATCGTAAGGAGTGTTGCTGCTCGGTATTTGTGAAACATAAAAGTTCCTCAGGGTCAAAGCTCATCAGAGCTATCCAGCAACCACTCTACACTGCTTCGTCGCAAGGGGTCCACACGAGTGGAATTTGAGTTATGACCAATATTATATAGTCCTGCGGTCAAAGAGAACGCCGATTGGTCAACTAGTTGACACCGCTTTGTCTATGATCAGCGCCGCCCATGGAAACCAGAAACAACAAAGGAATTACGATTGCGTTGATTTGGGATTTAGGAGATTAAGGAATTGGGGAGGGGAAGGAATGGGTAACCTCACTCACACGGCGAAACACAACGCTGTGATTGTTTCACGCCGGTTTTCTGTGAGACCATGATAGCACTCAGGTCGAGCCGACCCATTCGTGTTGGGGCATGGTT